TTTTTTGTATCCAATTCCATTGGTCCCTTACAACATTTCCTCAGCTTTGATCAAATCAGCTAAGCAATCTTCAAAACAGCAGGGGACATTTCTGAGAGGCACAAAATAATTATCCTTTCTGTTCATCCTTGTGAATTCTGTGTCATATCAAAGTCTTAAGGACTCTGTTGGTGGATGTTATTGCTCCAGTAAAACATGTCATCTTGCTTTTTAGTAGAAATACATTTCTGTCCCAACCTTCTTCCAGAGAGCTCACAGTGGCCTCATAGAGGTTTATTCTATTTTATCCTCACCACCATTTGAAGTAAAGCAGTTGAGACTAGACACTGGCCCATGGTCTCTGTGCTGCATGCCCCATACTTCATTCTCTATACAACATAGGCTATTGATTTGGGTCCCTTTGCACCATGGTCTCATACCAATTGCCTCAGAATCCCACTTGACTTCAAGGAATTTTCTGTTGCCAAGTATGTTCCAGACTCTAAGATAACAGGTAGGCAACATTCAGTTCTCCAAAGGAGGCATTTTCGAGACAGGACTGCATGAAAGGAAGAGAGAAGTGGTGAACGAGGACACAGAGATGCTGTTTTAGCTTTCCAAAACTGCTCTTTCATCTCCAGGGAAAACTGAGAAAGTCTCATCTCTGACTTTTGAAAACTGCTGCCAGTCAGAGTAAAATAGTGGGGAACCTGTAGCACTATGAGTGTAGTTGGACTGTAGCTCTCATTATCTGCCCATCATTCACTATGGTGATGGAATTATGGGCCAAAAAAGGCATCACAGAGGTGAGCACCTCTGTGTTATAAAAATTCTAAGAGCTATAAAATGGATGGAAGTTTTGGACTGGTCAGCCACATGTCTAACTTGGTAAAGCAAACTCAGAATATACTGACAATTCACACTGAAATTATTTTGTATGTCATTCAGAGGTAATTAGTTGTTGTTAAATTGTTAACAAAATGTGGCAACAAATATTTTTGAAGCTCCTAAATTAGGATTTACGTACTGCCTCAGATTAGGGGTAGGCAGAATGTGTTAGAGTTAGCAACCCTTGCATGCCTATGCTCACTAATTGCTAATTTGCATGTTATTTTAAACAAAAGGATGTATTTATGGTGACTTCATGTTTGTTTGTTTTCCAACACCCTCTCTCTTCCTGCATCACTCTAATGTGCATATTTTTGATATGCACAACTTTTTTGTAAGTAAAGATACTTTTACTATTTTTTAGTAAAAACTAAAGACTAAAGGGGATGCAGTGGCTTAGTGGTTAAGCTGCCAATTCTGACAATTGGAAGATTGGAAGGTTGGCAGTTCAAGGCCCGAGTGCTGCATGATGGGGCGAGCTCCTATCACTAGTCCCAGCTTCTGCCAGTATAGCAGTCTGAAAACATGCAAATGCAAGTAGATAAACAGGCACCACTTTGGTGGGAAGGTAACAGCGTTTGGTGCAGTCATGCTGGCCATGTGATGACCAGTCATCTTCGGACAATGCTGGCTCTTCATCTTAGTAACAGAGATGAGCACCACCCCTTACAGTCAGTTACAACTAGACATTCATGTCAAGGGACTTACTTTACCTTTACTTTTAAAGACTAAAAAAGACCAAGTTTGTCTCTTTCTTTGCTAAACTTTGTGTGTGGGTGCATGTAGAGCTGTTTAGTTTCTGTCTTGCCAATTTGATGCTTCTACTTGAGGGATCTGCCACACTCTCCCACAATTCCCAACAGAATGTGTATCAGGATCAATTTTTAGATATCTGTGTTATTTGCAACACATTACCAAAGATGTCCAATTTCTATAAAAACAGCAAATTTTAGGTCTAAATTAGATTTTTTTAAAAAAAAAAACCGATCAGTAATGGAGATGAAAATTGATACACAAGTCACCCCAGCATACAGCTCATGGAATTCAATACAGGACAAACAACCCCATAATTTTTCATTTGTCTCCATCTGGTAACAAAAAACAGCTTCATTTTAGTGGAGCAACTATCCCCAAGGAACACCATCTGGAATCTATCTGAGAGACTGGAATGGAACCACTGAAGCATAGTGTCCCTGATTCACAAATCCCTTGGGCATTCCAGAAGGATGTCATGGTCGATGGTATCAAATTCAACTGATTGTCATGTACCAATCAGCAATATTCCAAGGACTCAAACAATAGTCTTGGTGAAAGAACAAAAAGACTTTATTGCAGACCAAGTACAATAATGATTAGTCAGCATTTACTGCCCTTCTTTGCCTTCTTGTCCCTATATATAGACTGGAGTTACCTAGCCCTGCCCATCTGCAATATAACAATGTAACTTCTGCCTGGTAACTGCAATGTAACCACTTGATTTCTGCCTGGTGACTGTACTACAACCTTTTGTTTTTCGGCCTAGTAACTGTGATGTAGCCTTTTGATTTCTGCTTAGCAACTGGAGGAAAACTCCTCCCAACCGTTCTTTGAAATTGGCGCCAAAATTTAAACGTGCATAATACAGTGTGTGTGTGTGTGTACCGTATTTTCCGGCGGATAAGACGACCCCCCACTTTTCCAGTTAAAATATAGAGTTTGGGAAGAGTATGACTTCCAAAACTGTTGTTGTTGTTGCTGTGCACCTTCAAGTCATTTCCAACTGATGATGACACTAAGGCAAACCTACCATGAGCCTCCTTATACCCGGCGTATAAGACAACCCCCCACTTTAACCCCAGATTTTGCAGGTTAAAAAGTAGTCTTATATGCCAGAAAATAAGGTGTGTGTGTGTGTGTGTGTGTGCGCGCACACACACACACACACACACACACACACACACACACACACACACACACACACACACAATCCAATACAGGATTTATATATACATTTCCCAACTTCATACATAATGGCAGAACCAAAACCCTTTTGGGTTCTGATGCTGAGAGATCCAAAAGAACCATACTCTCCCTGTTAATGTTCACTTGATGATCATCTGCTAAGATGAACATAATGGTCTCAGCTTCATATCCTGCTCTGAAATTGATTTGAAATGGGTCTAGGAAAGCCATATCATCCAAAACTGCCTGGAGTTGGAAAGCAAAGCCCTCTGATAATGCTGCTGACAATACAAGAGGACAGCTGCAGGGGAAGGGGAACAGTCAGGGGAAAACAAAAGGGTAGTCCCTTGCCACTACCAATGGTGATCTCCACCTACAAGAAACTGTTAGAGAATTTCTTCTCATCCTGAACAACTTTGGTGAAATGATTCTACCACACAATTTCTCTAAACTATTTAATGGGTGGGGTGGAGATGGACAGTCAGCTCACAGCTATCCATGGATGCATTTTCTAACTCCACCAGGATGCAACCTATTGTCCTGTGAAAAAAAAGAAAGTGGGGAGGTATTTAAGAGGACACTTTGAAGTCAGTAGAATACTACCATGATCTGAATGTCAGTTATCTGATTTTATTCACAGAATTATAAAACTGGAAGGGGTCCAATGATCGTATAGCCCTACTCCCTACTTTTACAGGAATCTGCCACTAAAGCATCCTTGAGAGGTGACCATCCAGTCCCTGTTTGAACAGCTCAGTGAAGGAGGATACTTTACTCTAATCCCCTAGTGAACAGGGTTGTTTTTTTTCTTTCTAGTGTTTTGTCAAAATCTTTCTTGTAATTTGATTCCATTTGTTTTGGGCCCTATTCTTTGAAACAGCAGAAAACAATCTCACACCACCTTCCACATGACAGCCCCTCAGATATTTAAAGACAGCTGTCACAACACTTCACAATCTTTTCTTCTCCAGGCTAAACATACCCAGTTCCCTCAGCCATGTCTCATAGGGCTTGGTTTCCAGACCCTTTACCATCACTCTTCTCTACACACCAAAACAGAATATAGTGATACTATTATAGCTGGATCACACTCTTGACTCATATTTATCTCTTATGAAGTTTCACATGAACTGCTATCAAACCAGTGTCACAGATCCTCAATTGCTGCATTATTTTTACCCTGCCTACATATAGCACCTTATATTTATCTCTATTAAAATTCATTTTGCTAGTACTGGCCCATTTCTCCTATCCTTTAAGGCTGTTTCAAATTCTGACTCTATCTTCTGAGGTAAAAGCTACCCCATTAGGTTTCTGGTATCTGTAAATCTGATGAGCATGCCCTCTGTTTGTTCATTCATTCATTCAGGTCAATGATAAAGATGTCAAGCAACACTATGCCAAGGGTAGAATACTGTGGATATGTGTAACTTCTCTCCAAAATTATGAGCAGCCATTGGACTCTTTCGGTTGTCAGACTAGATATCAACATTACAGTGGCTCAATCTAACCTATGCTTTGCGCAGGTTGTCTGAAAGATCTTATTGAAAGTCATACTGAAATCAAGACACACTACATCCAAAGCATCTACCGAGCTTGTAACCAGGGATGTATTCAACTCTTTTACTCCAAGTCACAATAGCAATAGTACTTACATGTATATAGTGCTTCATACTGAACTAAATAGTCTTTAAGCAGTTTACAACGTGTAAGTCCATTGTCCCCAACAACTTGGGTACTTATTTTAGCAACCTATGGAGGGATACAAGGCTGAGTTAACCCTGGAGCCCTAGAATCGAATTCACAACCTTGTGTCTGCAATACTGGCTGCAGTACTCACATTTAACCATCAGGGTTCCTTTTTAACTCAGAGATCAGGAATGGCAGAAATCAGGAATGGCAGGCATAGGCTTCTCAGGGTTCTTATCAACAGTTGCACAGTAGAGCAGCATGTCAGTTGTCAAAGTTTATTTGAGGAAAGCACCATAAAATTTATCAGTGTTCCTGGTATAGTGTTCTTACACTATTTGTTGTTTATTGTTGTGTGCCTTCAAGTCATTTCCAACTTATGATAACCATAAGGCAAACCTATCATGGAGTTTTCTTGGCAACATTTCTTCAGAGAGGGTTTGCCATTGTCTTCCCTAGAGGCTGAGAGCATGTGACTTGCCCAAGGTCACCCAATGGTTTCATGGCTGAGCTGGGAATCTAACTCTGGTTTCCAGAGTCATAGTCCAACACTCAAACCACTATGCCACACTGGCTCACTACTTTGCTAAAACAAAAAAGTATGGAGAAAACAATACACCCAAATCTTAGTCCATTTGAAAAAAGTATCTAGTAACTCTAATACAACTGATTTAACCAAATCCTTAAAAATTAAGTAAATAAAGCTGATTTGAATCTATTTTTACTAGCTCTGGGAAGTGTGTTCAATTGATCCCAGCTGAACTCCAGAATGGAATGACATAGTCTGAAGTGCCTCTGACTGATCTGGTGATCTGGATGTCAAAAAATGAGCAGGAATTTGCTAGACAGCATCTTCAACACTGCAATAGACTAAGAATTTGCTCTACTTTTCTTGTTTGCCTGCTTTTATATTGTGAGCCACCTTGGGTCCCTTTTTGGGAGAAAGGAGGGATAGAAATAAAATAAAATAAAATAAAATGTCTTGGCTTTTATGCATAACCTGTCTCCCACCTTTGTTCCTTTAACTACTCTTTATGACCATCAAAACTGAACTTGTCAACCCATCCCAATCATGCTTTGCACTTCTGTTACACTTCTCAGTCCCTCTGCACCCTCCCCATTTGTACATAAATCTGGCCCCAGAGGTTTCGCTCCATGCATCTGATAATGTGGACTAGAGTCCAAAAGCCTGGGCTAGAAATGTAGTTTTCATTGTTGGTCTCAAAGGTGCTACAGGATTCCTTCGTATCTTTTTATGCTGAAGCAGACTCACCTTGCCAATGTCTTGATATTTATATAGTAGCCTTACCCTGGTTGGGACTAACAGGTTCATCCCATGATATTTTCACCCTTAGGAGTCTTTCTCAAAAGGAATAATCCCTATAGTGGTTTATAGCCTAGCAAAGGCTCACTGACACCTTTTATTTAATTAAAACAACATTCCAATTAGCTGATTTGTTTGCAGACATCCTTAATTTAGTAAATGCCAAGGAGAAGGCTAAAAATACCGAGATATTTCTGACAAGAGGCCCTACTAAAAGTTGTATAATTGATAGCTTTGCTGCTTCCTCTGATGGCTTAAGAAAGCTTTTAAAAGCTAAATTCCATAATCACATTCATCTTTGGAAATTAGTTTTGCAAAACCACACATTTAGTTCTTGCTGAGAAATCCCATTTTAGTCATTTTAAACATAATTTATAATGCATAAACTAAATTAGCTTTTGTCGCTACGCTAGCACATTTTTCCCCTTTAATTTTTATCTCTTAATATATTTTTGACCTTGAAAACAGTAATGTCTGCTGGATATTGAAGCCTCAGAAGAAAGGAAATCATTTCCATTCCATCACTATGGTTACACTTTCTTCTGTCTCCGGCGCTGAGCCACTCAGAAAGTGTTGAATCTAAATTCCTCAGGAGGGCAAAGGAAACTTCACGTAATATCATTTAGTTCTGATTAAACAGAAACAAACACACACAATGGAACTCGGAATGTAGCAAATTACCACATTTGGTTTACACTATATAGGAGAAGCAATTGACAGTAAAGGCCAATATCCAGGCAATTTCCTTCCCTTCCGAGTTGTATTTTTCCAGCCACTGGTTGTGGGCATGGGGCTTGCCTCAAACTGTGATACTCAGCTGCGAAGCCCTCCAAGTATTGTTTAATTCTGCAGGCATCCCTCTTTCATGGTGAAAACAGAGTCCAATAAAAATTGAGAAACATGGCTTCTCTCCAAGAACCAGGTTTGTTTACACAGAACAATGAGAGAGGCACTTGCAAATACTAAAATGGCTTTATTTTGCCCGATAAAGGGAGATAAGGATCCCAGCCATTCTAACAGACATGAAAAGCACACACTGTTTTCCTGATAAAAGGCACATCTTTTTTAAAAAAAAAAATGGTACAATGTTGATTCAAGTTCTTTTATGCCATTCTTTGTCTGTTGCACCCTGGAATATAAAGTGCCACATTTCTGCCTATCAGTTACATCAGGGAGACTCCTCCAAGTCCCTGCATTGTACCCAACATAGCTAAGAGGAAAATGTGAAATGATTACATTTTCGCTCTTGAACAGATTCTTCATACTCTTCTTCCTAGCCTTAAAGAAATCATATCCAGTTGTTTAAAAGATATCAAATATTTATGAAAGCTCATAAGAAGGAAACATTTTGCATCTCCCTTTCTCGCCTCCTTTTTTTCAAAGGTCATGAGATTCACTGCAAAAATTCAAAGTTGAAGGCTTTCATGGCCAGCATCTATAGGTTTTTGTGGGTTTTTCAGGCTGTGAGGCTGTGTTCTGCCTGAAAAACCCACAAAAACCTACTGCAAAAATTGTTTGCAAGGACTAGGAAATGTTCAGAGAATTTGTGTTGTTGTTGTTGTTGTTATTGAATCATAGAGTTGGAAGACACAGAAGGCCCATCCAGTCCAACCCCCTGCCATGCAGGAATACACCATCAAAGCACTCCCAACAGATGGCCATTCAGCCTCTGTTTAAAAACCTCCAAAGAAGGAGACTCCACCACACTCCAAGGGAGTGTGTTTCACTGTCTGACAGCTCTTACTGTCAGGAAGTTCTTTCTAAAGTTCTGGTGGAATCTCTTTTCCTGTAGCTGAATCTATTGCTCTTTGTCCTGGTCTCTGAAGCAACAGGAAATAAGCTTACTCCATCCTCAATATGACATCCCTTCTAATCTTTAAACATAGCTATCATGTCATCTCTTAACCTTCTCTTCTCTAGGCTAAACATACCCAGTTTAACATACCTAAGCTGTTCCTCATAGAGCATGGCTTTCAGACCTTTCACCATTTTGGTCACCCTTCTCTGGACATGTTTCAGCTTGTCAAAATCCTTCTTGAATTGTGGTACCTAGAACTGGACACGATATTCCAGGCAAGGCCTGACCAAAGCAGAATAGAGTGGTGCTATTACTTTCCTTGATCTAGACATTATATTCTTATTGATGCAGCCTAGAATTGCATTGGCATTTATAGCTGCCATATCACATTGCTGACTCATGTTCAGCCTGTGGTCCAATAAAACTCCTAGATCCCTTTGGCATGTACTGCCAACAAGATGTTAGGGGACATCTGAACTGAGATCAGAAACAGAAAATGCAGGCTCAAGACTAACATCTTCATTTTTTCCCCTCCTATTTGCCTGATGAAGAAGCCAGTGTGACTTCAAAAACTTGCAACATGTAGTTGTGCATTTTGGTTTGTCCAATAAAGGGATCATTGTTTGGATGTTTTTGGATCTGCTGTATGGCAAACACAGCTACCTCTAGATGTTTTTTTAATTAATTTATGAAGTTAAAATACTAAATGTTAAAAATATTAAAATGCAATATAAGACTATATATCAACCTTAAAACAGAACTGCACAGTATTAAAAACCTAGCTCTAGTTACTCTGTAATATCCGCATGGCACAGGAATGTTTTGGCCTGCCATAAGAAAGAAGCAAGGACAAGGCCATCCTGGCTTCCCTAGGGAGGGAGTTTGAAAGTCTGGAAATAGCAACTGTGAAGGTCCTCTTCCTTGTTCTCACCAAATGAGCTTGAAAGGATGGTAGGATAGAGAGAAGAGCTTCTCAAGGCGATCTTAGAGTTCTCATGGGCTCGCCATCTTGTACTTCAAAAAGAAGACTCTAAGACAGGGATAGGCAACCTTTCCCCTTTAAGGGCCAAGGGACTTCAGCTCCCAGAAGCCTCAGCCATGTTGGCCAATAGTCCTATGTTGGCCAATAGCTCCTGGGATTCTGGGAGCTGAAGTCCCTCTGCCCTTAAAGGGGAAAGGTTGCCTACCCCAGATCGTAAAGAATGCAACAGACTCACAATAAATGCAGACATGAGGCACCTTAAGGACAAAAGGGGAGATGACATCACAACTCAACTCATCAGCTTCTAGGGTCATCCCTAGATTATTGCTGTTGGAAATAATGTAGGAATAAGCAGACGTTGATCTGATAGAAGGTTTTCCTTTTGCCCTCTTTTGGATCAACTCATGATCAGTAGAATGACAACTTTACCTTGGAGCAGGGGTAGGCAACCTTTCTCCTTTAAGGGCCAAGGGACTTCAGTTCCCAGAAGCCTCAGCCATGTTGGCCAATAGTCCCATGTTGGCCAATAGCTCCTGGGATTCTGGGAGCTGAAGTCCCTCGGCCCTTAAAGGGGAAAAGTTGCCTACCCCTGCTTGGAGAAACAGTACCAAATCCATTAGGGTGCTCTCATCAGAGCAAAACAACATCCCTATAATTTGCCATATACCAGCCAAATCTTAATTGAGGCAGAACTGACCATGATTCATTCAGCATCACTATTGATTTTGGATTCCTTTTAAAGGAAAGTTTGTTTTATACATTTATTATCTCAAGGACTGATGTTGGGGATGTTGGTGTTGTGTATCTTCTAGTCATTTTTAACTTACGGCAACCCTAATGCAAAACCTATCATTGGGTTTTCTTGTCAAGTTTCCTCAGAAGCAGTTTGAAATTGCCTTCTCCTGATACTAAGAGATTGTAATTTTCCCAAGATAATGCAGTGAGTTTACATGGTCAAGCCAGTATTTGAACCCTGGTGTCCAGAATCATACTCCATCACTCAAACCACACACCATACTGGCTGTTGGGGTAAAAAGCTAATTCCCAACCACCATAAATTCAGTAGCAAATGTTATCAGAAACTCATGATAATGGTATCCCATAGATACTTTGCAATTCAAAGTTTGTGGGGCCAATTCACATTTTACATTTTAACCTCAGGTTTAGAAAGTACTCAGTTTATAAATGGCCTATGGACAACATTATTGAGACTGCTGAATGTACTTTTTTAAATCATCAGGCTTCCAGACAAGAAAATACAGAACATAAATATTTCACAACTGTTTTGATGCTTATGATGAACAAAATCAGCCATTTAAAATGTACATCACTAGTAACAATTGACATTGGTTTACTATGCTATTTGCCCAGAAACTGTGTAATTATACAATAGAGAGAGAGAGAGAACACTGGATCGCTGAAGTCTCTCTCATATACACCCCAGCAACTTTAGAAAGGAAAAAAAAATATT